TACTGCTCAAAGAAATACTGAGTATCATAAACATTTTAATATTGGAAGAGTTTATGACATGAGATAATAATTTGTAGCTAATACTAAGGCAGTGTTTTTATGGAGTATTTAAGATGTCTAGTATGTGTAGCATTCTGTTACGGTCTTCAAGATTTAAGAGTTATTAGGACCAGGGATGGGGGATAATTAGTGTTGTTACAGCACAAAAAGCTTTACAGAACTGCAGAAGTGGTCACACTTTTTTTTTTTTTTAACATGCAAAAATCAAAATCTTACTTAAACAAGTGTTTTTCCAAACTTATACAAAATAATGCAAATACTTATTTACTAGGAAAGCCACTTAAGGTACCTTTTTTGTCTTATGTTTTCAGTGAGGAGCAGGTTTTACTTCAGTTTTTTCTCCTTGAATAAGAAAGAATGAGCTGTTTTTTTTTCTCTTCCTTGTGATTATGGCTGTGAGGATACTTAATTTTCTTTCCAATGTTTATTTTTAATTGTAGTACTATAGATCTTGGAATCAAATACTAGATCTTTACTATACAAAGACACAATCTCCATAGTTTTATGAACAGTTTGGTATTGCATGTGAGGAGTCTTGAGTTTAGTCTTGTTTCTGGGAAGGTTTGAAAAGAAGGTTTGAGGTGGATTTTTTTTTTTGTTGTTTGCTTTGTTTTGTTTTACGAGGTGATTCAACATTTAATTTTCTGTTGGTGATTGTTGCCTGCTACAGCATTCAAATTTAACTGACATTTAGGTTTTTCTGCAATGAGATTAAAAATATTTAATGCATACAATTTCTCTGGAACTACTGGAAGAAGCTGATGAGTTCCTGCTGGCCTTTTCTTCCCTGACTTGCCTGTGTTGCTGGGTGAGAGATTAAGAATTAACTTCAATAGTGCCAGCACAGGGGAAGTGTCAAATAGATATTTCTCCTCTGTAACTAGGAGACACACGATGGGAAATGATGATAATATTGTCATGCAGGATACTTCAAAACTCATTTTGGAGCAGCCATTAAATCTAGATGTTGTAATATCAGCAATATCAGAATTTTAAGAGTTGCCAGTAGTGTTCACTGGACTTGTAATACTAACAGTATATTTGAGAACACTGAGGAAGCTTCAGGGGGCTGATGGAAAGGGAATGTTATGAGATATACTGACCATCACAATTAATTAGAAGCTTTTCAACCTTTTCTGTATCCCACACAAAATGGTTTGCTTGAGATTCAAATGGAGGAACTGAAGGAGACCAGGAATTTAGTTAAAAATAGATTCCTTTAAACTGACTTGTAGTTCTGTGGTGTGAAGCTCATACATTTTGTCATTTAAAAAATTATAACAGGATATTTGTTTGTATAAAGCATTTTCTTTGGCTTGCACAACCTCTCTAGAAATGACAGCATGTGCAATGTCATATTGATTGATTTGTATTTATTTGGAACTGAGAGCACCGTTAGAATTCTGAAGGGGGAATAGTTGCTGAGATATGTTTTCTGGTGGTATCTTGTAGTGATTGTGTTGACTTTAAAATCCCACAGCACTTTTATCAGTGATCCTGAGAGGAGAATTTGTTGCTCCAGTCTGTAAATGAGCCAGAACTGGTATAGGAGGGAAATCATGGATAGAGGGGAGGGGGGGCTAAATCACTTGATTAAACTGAATGTGCAGGGTATAGTTTTTTAGCAAATACAAATATGAACTTGTTTGTATCTGTGAGGGCTTCTTTCCTTGTTTTGTACCTCAGTGCCTCTTATACCTGCAAAGGAAAAGGCAGAAGTTTCTTAGTCACTGCTGTGGTCGCTACACTGGATATTCTGGGTTGTGGACTCGTCTCCTCCAACTGTGGTCTGCAGGCTGGGTGCTTTCTGAATAGCTGGTGTAGTGAGTGAGCAGTTTGTGCACAGACCCATAGTAAGTGTTTAAAAAATTGAAAAAAAATAAAAATGGAAAGTGCCAGACAGTTCACAAAAGGTTTTGGAGGTAAATAGTAGCCTGTTTTTACACACACACACACACCCCCCACTTCTATTTTTGTTTATAATTTGCATCCTAGAGCAGAGCAGTTCTAGCAGCTTTCTCAGGAGGAAGGATGGCTCAAGCAGCTCTACTCTAAAGTAACTGTTACCTTCCACAACAGAAACAACGTGCCTTCAGAAACCCTTTACTAGAGTGAGAGAAATGGGGAAAGCTCTGCTGTTATTTGCATGCTGTCAGACCTTCCTGTTGTAGATAAACAAACAGAGATACTTGAGTGAGGTATTTTCTAACAGGAAAAAAAACAGACTCTGCGTGGTCTGAGTTTCTGAGCAGCAGTGATTCAGAGCAAGAAGTGGAAGAGGGAGCAGGATACATCAGCTGAGCGGGAGCTCCAGGTATATACTCAGAAAGGGCTGATAGATCTGAGATTCCTGAGCATGGAGCATAGAACGTTTCTTCTGTACCTGACATGGTTGTGAAAAACACTAGAATGTATCAGGATCCTGCAAGCATCAGCTAACACAAGATTTTAATGATAAACTGAAGGGCTCAGTAATGAGTAATGGTCAGAAAATAGCCCTTGTGATAAAACTTCAGCTAAATATAATGGGAAAAAAAAAAGAAGATGGAGGGCTGACATATCAGCTGCCAGAAGGAGATTTGATTGTTTGATTTTCAGTGTAGCAGACAAAGAACAGGATCCAATGACTGAAAGAGCCACATGAATTCATACTGAAGTGATGTGTGTTTTTAAATTGGAACACTTTCCAAAAATCATTCTGAATTCTTTTTCTCAAAACTTTTGAGATTGGTTTCCTACTCAGAGTTGTGTCAGTGCAGGCTGAGAACTGATTCAGAGAAGTCTAACAATTGAATCTCGCACAGAACAGAGGGGAGAATCTGGCTTCACAGTGCCATTGTACCTCGGTTTCTGCCCTTTGAGCTGTTTTCCAAAAGACAACACAAGTTGATCTTGAGTCTGTGTGTCATCTTGGTTTCTCCAAGCTATCTACTCCATTTTTAGGCTGAGGTGATGACACTTTGAAACTCCTTGACAGAGCCAGCTTCAGTTCTTATTTGTTGTGCATTTTCTCTTCCTGGGAGGAAGAGCAGTGACAGGTTGATCATTAATAACTAGTTTGTCAACCAACTACTGTTTACACGGAAAATTATTTTAGTGGAGCCCTATTTTTGAAAATTATTTTTAAGAGTGACTTCAGTGGCTGCTTGTCTTTCATGTGGAGGCTTTTGTGAGTCCAAGGTATGCAGGTCTTCTTCAGAAGCAGGCAGGAATAAAAACCAAGGGCCTGTCAGCTTTTGTCTGGAGGGAGAACATTCTTCCTCTTCTAGCACAGTGCTGATGGAGTTTCAGGATTTGTATTTTATTTTTTTTTAACCCTGATCAACTGCACATATGATTTTTCAAGCCAAACTTTGAAATTACACATCTGGGGCTCTTTTATTTTATTTATATTTGGAGTATTTGTTTTGGTCCCACTGGTGACTCCCCATATCTCTGTCGTGTGTGCTTTTCCTGAAGGTGTATTATCACCTGAGTTGGAATACATCTCCTTTTGGGCTCACTAGTAGTTGTAACTATCACTTTTTAATATCTTTTACAATTTACTGCCCCTTTATAGTTGGTGTTCCAGCAGTTCAGTCTTCTACCCCTTGCAAATGTCTGTTGGGTGTTGCTCTTGGTTAGCAACAGCTTTTCTGTGAGCAGTATCCTTTCTGTAGTACAGCTTTTGTTCCAGTAACAGTTGTGGGTTGGGAAGGTGTTAATTAACAGTCTTAAGAGATCATCAGGCACTTGGTACAATTCTGTGTTCTTTTTATCAGATATTTTCCTCATTTTATTTTCTTCTTTAATATGCCAGGTTAGTAGACTTTGGAGAAACTACTCTGAATGCTGCGTTACAGGCTGAGAGCAAGAGCCTCTAGTAGATAATGTCAGTTGTAAAGCTGTAGTATGCCTTGCCCCTTATAGAGTGGGAAGCTGTCATTGTGGGAAAGTATCATTGTGGGTGTACTGGAGGGTTTTTTCCCCTCTTCTACCTGTTTTTGTGGTTACTAACTGTGTTTTGGTCCTCAAGTGATGAAAAGTTCTATCTCCAAAGCAGTTGGGACACCATCCCTTCCTTTCTTTTTCTTTTCCTTGCAGCTCTTTCCTCTGAGAAGATAAACTGTCTTGCTCAGAGTGGAAATTTGATTCTGATGAAATGCACATTCGTTTGATAAAAATAATTATGCTCCTGAAAAATCAGTTTTTTAATCCTTATGTTCAGAGCTGCTGCTTATTTCTGTTGAGAAGGTCTCGTAGCTGCTCCTTTTCCTGTTACTCTGTGTTGGTGCAATGCCTTACACTCCAGGATTTCAAGCTTTCTCTGCGCTTCTGAATGGTTAATTCAGAATAAAAATGCAATTGTTTTTATCTTTGCTATTCTCATTCACTGTAGAGTTCAAAGTATAGAATAAAATCGCTGTAGACTAACTGATTTATTTTGTTTTGCTCTGCACTGTACTAACACAAGGAGTAGTAAACAAATTTATGTATATTTACAATTGCTTAATTAGCTGTTGTGCTTGACTCTGACTTTACAGTTTTCAAGTTTACCAAGATGCTGTTTTATGAAAGTGACAGTTTTGGCTCATGCTCTCTCTCTCTCTCTGTGTATTAAAAAAGCCTTAAATCAAGAAAAGGTTATAAATGTTGGGCAAACTTTATAATTTTATAATTGTGCTTATGTTTTTGGTGCTGTTTTCATGCACAGCTCCTTTCAGTGTTGCCCTTTGTTAAAAGACATTTATTTATTCCCTCATTCCATATACCCATTTTTTTCTTCAAAATGAAGACCTGGGAGACTTTTTTACTATGAAATAATACAGGCAGAACCAATATCTCAATTTTCTGTTGCATTTCTACTTTTATAATGAAAATTAAGCCCTGTGTGTACAAGTACTGTTTAAAAATAGTTGTGCAAGAACTTTTTAAATGACTTGGTCTAGATTCAGAACATAATGTACTTTGATCTTGATTCTTTTCAGACTATGAGAAGACAGAGAAATGAAGTTGTTGTGGAACTGAGAAAGGTGAGGTGACCTAGCATTATTCTTACCAAATGGGATGTGGCTATGAGTAAAATTTAAGAGTTTTTGTTAAAGACTTAAAAAAAAATACTGTTGTGTGTTCTTTCTCTAGTTCACCAAGAACACCATTGTTAAATTATTTGTCTTTATTAATTCTGTCAAGGTACTTTGCTTTAGAAGGAAATTCTAAAGTTACCATACCTGGTATGAGAAGTTCCATAATTTTTGTCCTGAAAACCAGGATTTTATTTGTAATCTATGGAAGGTAATAATTCTTACTTCTCCAGCTAGGTTTTTAATTTTAAAAAAATCTTATGTTTTATCCTTTGAAAATCAGATGTTCTGCTAATCTCTAGATGGAAAGCTATTTTCTTTCCCAAAACAGTAGTTCAACACACAAGTAAGAGTGGAAGAGTACATGAATGAAGTTAGCACTGCTTAGAATTTTTTGAAAACTAGCTTGTGAGGAAAAGTAATCACAACTTGAATTATTTTACTTCTGTGATGAACAGCAAACTAATCCTTGGGAGTTGCCTTGCCTTGTCTTGTTGTAAATAATGACAGATAGGTTGGAATGTCAGTGTTGAGGGATGTGTGCACGTGAAACTTCTAGTTACTGCTGTGGATACAGGTGGATGGAGGATTTTTCTGGGAAGAATTGGTTTCCAAAACGTGCATCTCTGTGCAGCTCTTTCCAGCTTCTTGAATGTTGGAAATGTTAATGATATTGATGAAAGTGTTTATGTTGCTTGTTTAAAACAGAAGCTTCTGTTCCCTTCTTAACACCCACCCCCCCACACACACACCTCCTCAATCAAAGTTCTAAAGGTATTAAACCATTTTTCTCTTTCAGAACAAAAGAGATGAGCATCTTCTAAAGAGGAGAAATGTTCCTCATGAAGATATCTGTGAAGATTCTGATATCGATGGTGACTTTAGAGTGGTACGAATTAACTTGACTTGCAAGCAGATTTTCTCTTTATTTACTTAAAAGACATTTCTCATTTCTAACTGCTTTTGTCTCTGTTTTCTAGCAAAACACTTCTTTGGAGGCAATAGTACAGGTAAAAATTAATTTAATTGTTTGAACATTCTTTATGTTATGGTGACAAATACCTGAAAAGTCTAAATTCTCTTTTATTTTAGAATGCTTCAAGTGACAACCAGGGTATACAGTTAAGTGCTGTGCAGGCTGCAAGGTAAGAACATGCTTTTCTCAAATATACTACTTTTAGTCTTATTTTATCATGCTCTTAAATTCAAAAAATGTGTTCTAGCTTAACTAAAAAATGTCATTTACTGATTTTTAAAACAGAAAACTTGATAAAGCTATAAAAAAAATCAAAATACCTAGATCTGAAGTAGGCAGGATTTTCAGGATGTATGAATAAATATTAGGCTTTGTCTTAGCACAATACTTGATGCTTCTCTCAAGTAGAGTAAAATACGTGGATTTCTTGCCATTGTAACTATTTCTTTAAAATTGAAAACTAATTTAAAATTAGAGCAATGCAGTTTACATTACTGGAAAGGCATTAAAGTATATTTTAGAGATAAAAACAAATGCTTTTCACTATTGTTTGAATCTGTACCATCCTTTGGTCTGAAGCTGGAAGAGGGAAGGAAGAATCTTAATCTTGCCTGAGTCTAACCCTCAAAACATACAGCTGGAATATGAGGCACAGAAAACTGATTTAGATGAAAAAGCAAAACCCAAAACAACCAAAAAAACCTTCTCAAACCCTCCAAAACCTACAGGTTTATTTTATTCTTGTATTAGAGTTCTCTACCTGTTTGAGCAGGTGGCTTGTGAGTAGACTGCACTGTGATTGTTTGGTCACAGAACAAAAAGTCAGTGTTAAGATTCTGTACGTGCACTGCTGTTAATTTTTAAAAGCTCGTAGATATAAATTGTCTTCTAGTTGAAAATGCACATCTGAGTATTACAAGAGTCTTCATACAATCTGTGTTCACATAATCCCCTTTGCTTAGTTTTCAGAGGTATTTTGTTTTGCAGCTCTGGCTTTTCATATCTTCTTCTCTTTCCTTATGTTGCCCCTTTAACCCATCAGTGATCTCTTTCAGGATAAAGCAGCAGGGAAAAGTTCTAGTTTACTGTGTTCTGTCAAACCCCTCACGTGTTTGTGAGCAGGCTGGTGTATGAGGAGGTGACTATATATATATATATAATCTCTTCTCAATGCTAGGAAAAGTTTGGTGTGGCAGCCCAAGTTGTCCCCTCCAAGAAGCTGCCTTCATTCTCCTCAATTCCTTGGCTGCAGAAAGGTGAAGCTAAAGGAATTAAAAACGGAAACAAATTTGTACACTTCTGGTTTTGGAGCAGTACTCTGTGAATCTGTGCTCTCTGACATTACATCCCTAGTAAAGAAGAAACAAGTTTCTGCCTTTCCTGTCAAAGCAGCCGGGATGTGTTTATCTTGTTGGGTGGAGGAGGAAGAAGCTACAGGAGGGTGTAACTGAGCAGCTCTGATCTTTATTTTACTGGCTGGTAATAAAAGGTAGTCAGAGGAGACATGGCAACTGAAATGGGCAGTGAATGTAATGGCTTCAGTTTTTCAATAGTTCAGTAATTTCAATTTAGGGGATTAGTTATCTTCACTTAAAGTGGGGAAAACAAATCTTGCTTGGTCTTTGAGAGTATGAGACAGACATTTTGGGGGGGAGAAAACTTGCCAGCCCAGAAGGTAGTGCAGCCCTGGAACAATTTGTCCAGGGAGGTTGTTGGCCCTCTGTGCTTAGAGATTTCCAAAACCCAACTACAGAAGGCTGTTACTGACCTGATCTAGTGTCAGCAATAATCCTGCTTCGAGCGGGAGGCTGAATTAAACCTCCAGAGATCCTCTCCAGTCATGACTTCTCATTCTGTGATGTATCTGTTAAGTCTCCTATTTTCTCCTTTTCCTGAACAGGAAGCTGCTTTCCAGTGATCGCAATCCGCCAATTGACGATCTAATAAAATCAGGAATATTACCTATTTTAGTGCACTGTCTTGAAAGAGATGACAAGTGAGTATTTCTAAAACTCAAAATGTTTACCTGTTGCAAGAATTCTTGGTATTTAGTTAAAGTGCCTGATTTGAAAACTCATAGTTTGTTTTTTTTTCCTTACTTTGCAGTCCTTCTTTACAGTTTGAAGCTGCGTGGGCTTTGACAAACATCGCCTCTGGAACCTCTGAACAAACACAGGCTGTAGTTCAATCTAGTAAGTCCAACAGTATTTGATCATTGATAAAGCACACACTGTGGCTTTCACAAAAACAACATCATCTGAATGATACTGTCAAGAGCACTCCTGTTCCTCTCTATCTCAAGCATGTTCACCAATCCCCATGTTAGGGTTGGTCCTTTCATGCCATAGCCAGGATGGTCGAAATGGAATTGTCAATCACAGGCACATTGTTGAAGGACCTGCCCATGAAGTCTCCTACCAGATGTTCTACCTCTTCTCTGGCAAGCAGGATCAGTTGAAGCACACACCTGCTTTTTTGTTCTTCATGTTCTCAGATTTTAAATTCAGTTGGGTTTCCTAATAGTGAGTAATCTCTTCTGGAAACTCAACACTATTTTAGCAGAGTTGATATCTGCTGGTTTCCAGTTTTCAAACTTGGGAAAAAAAAAAAAAAAACAACAACCCACCAACAAAAAAAACCCAACAAAAACCTTGAAACAAAACCAACCAACCAAAAAAAAACCCTAAAAAAATTACCATGGAGGGATTTCCTGTCTTATTGTGAAGAGGAAGGAAAAGATGTGGACCAAGTCCAGAGGGTGCCTGACATCAAATTCTCTTCCAAAATCAAGTTGAAGAAAAAAAAACCTGCTGTCCTTCATATTTTGAGGAATCTGAAGCATGGAAAGGAATTGTTGTTGGACTTGGAATCTGAGTTACTAAGCAAAGCAGACTCTCTTCTCTGCTCTAAACGTGTCCTTGTGCTGGTAAAGCAGAAGTGTCTGCAGGCTTTTTGAACTGAGTGAATAAAACAGCAGAGCTTCTCAAGACCCATAGAAGAATCAGACATACAGTAAAACAAGTTTTTTCCCTAAAATTTAAGGGGGGGAAAAAAAATCCATGAAACTTTATATTACATGAGATAACAGTAGCTTTAATGGTTTAATCAGTGTTGCATTGCAGTGCATGCTGCTACTACCATTAAATATGCTGTGCTTCCAACAAGGAGAAGACACAGAATTCTGCTTGATAATCTTTTACGTGTTTCCACCACCACAACCATCATATATTGACTTATTTTAGAACCACTTGGAACTTTTATTCAGTGTACATAGTACAGTTTCTGAGGTGGGTGGTGGTGGTGGTGAAGTATTGAAATATCAATGTTTCTTATGTATATTCCATGACTGACTTTCTCACTTGAAAGATTGGGGATTTTTTTTATTAGTGCTAAGCAGTTACAGGCTTCTCATAAACTGTATATTCTTGGCTTTATATTTTGAAAAAATATGTATTCCTAAGAAAGTTCTTAGCACAGTCTTCTCTGTTAAATGTTTCAAAAAATATTTAACTGGAAAAATAAGTTAATTCTCCACAGCAGATATGAAATAATTTTAAGGCAGGTGACTTCAGCTTAAAGATATTTTTTTAATTGAATGTATTCTTTGAGATTGCAGTGGTTGCAAGGTCAGTAGCCCTTTGCTTTTACAAACTCAGTGTTAAGAGCCTGTTAACTTTGGATTTGATTGTTAACACTTTTAACTTGTTTTTCCCGTCCTCCTCCTCTTCCTTTCTCAGTTTTCTTGTGGAAATTTAATTCATATATAATCTGTGCCACGCCTCTGGTCTAGAACACTTTCTTTAAACCTAGCTTGTTGATGGATTGAAGATGGATGCCAATTATAGTAATTATTTCTTTCAGTGATGATCTCTGATGTAGTTAGGTCTAGCATGTATGCACCATATTAGCCAATTTAACAGCTATAACATCTGAAAACACAGTTTATCAAAACATGGTTTATTTCTTGTAATGGTTTATTTCAATGAAAATTATGATCTGTTGTAATCTTAATTAATACTTATTAACATGCTTGCTGGACATGTTTTTTCTCCTTGCATACAGGCATTGTAAAATACCTTTATTTAGTAGGAAACAAGAAATCTGCAGTGATTTGTTATTTCTCTAGCAAAAGATGTTTTACACTGAGGAAAATGTCTTTAAAAGTACCAGCAACCTCTCTTGAAATATGTGATCTAAAGTCAGTGAGTGACTTAGACTTACAGACTGAGTTGTCATGATCAAATCATGTAAGCAAGCACCTTAGTGCTGGGGAGAGAAAAAATAAGGATCAGTTATCTGAACGTATTGCCTGTGGAATGTGTTTGAAACATTGGTTTAGCTTTGGTTGTGAATATTGGGAACATTCTCTTGTCTGACCCCAGCCTAGGGCAGAAGAGTTGTGGGGTTTTTGTGTTGTCTTTTGGGTCCCTTTCTTACTGCTCAGTCATTTAGCTTTTTTTTTTGATGTCACATAGCAGTAGCATTTGAAACAATCTCTTCTGCAGGGATCTCTTGGGTTATTCCAATGTGTTTGATAATGGGTCTCAAGCTGAGTAGAGTCAAAACTGAGTGATATAAAAGGAGACCTCACATTGAGGAATGCATCTGTATTAGCTTTCAGGAGACCAAGATGATGACAATATTTGGGAACAGATGCTGTTGCTGTGCTCATACCTTCATAGTGGTTATCAAAAGATACTGAGTGCAGAGCTGGAAATATTAGGGGAAGTACACAGTGAGTTGGCACTTAGTAGTGCATCAGCATTGACAACAGGGGTTCTTGTGGTGCAGTTCACCTTGCGTGTCTGCTCATGTATGCTCCATCAACCAGGCTTCCCCTTGGTGGAGCCACAGGTGAAGTTGTGCACTAAAATGTTGCCTGGAGCTCCCCACGGGCCACGTGTACAGAAGATCCCTCAGCAGTTTGGTTTCTGCACGTGCTAGGGCCAGCAACTGGCATGTACTTCACCACTAGTAGAGATGTGATGGGGGATATAGGGTGCTGTAAATCAGTAAGGTGAGACAAATTAAACCCTTACCCTTCCCTCTTACTCCCTTACCAGTCAGTAAGTTAGATGTGAACCTACTCACTCTTTGAGCTGGCCAATTTGAGTGGATGAGGTTGGTTTTGACCAGTTACTGCTTTGCAATTGTTTCTGGTAGAGAATTTAGCACGGAATTTCCAAATTCAGTAAGTATAACTAAATTTGGAGTCCTGACAAGCTTCAGTAAACCTGTGAGACTTACAAACAAATGAATTGTCAGGTTATTTTAAGAGTTCCTTTCATAACGTTCTGAAGTGCAGGCTCTATGAGACAGTGCAATCAAGGAAGAATTGTTATTGTGTATTTTATTTCGGTATCATCTGGGAAGCTTGTGAAATTTTGATGATGATTAATCAGGAGAAAAATTTCTCATGCAGTACTGAAATTTTATTTAAGAGCTAATTATATGAACCATTTTGTCTTTTGAGATGTATTTCTTAATAATTACGTGGGGATTTGTTGTTGTGTCTTTCAGATGCTGTGCCACTTTTTCTGAGACTGCTGCATTCACCTCATCAAAATGTTTGTGAGCAAGCTGTGTGGGCTTTAGGAAATATCATAGGTTTGTGTTAACTCCTGCCACTAAAAACTTCCAAGTTCCTTTTTGTATTGAATTAATAAACTAGGTAGGATTTTGTGTGTTATAACTTGGAGATCTTCAACTGAAACACAAAAGGCAGCTGTTAGACTGGCAGTCACCCTGTTCTTAACTTATTCCTGTCTTCTCTTAAGTGCAATTAATAAACTAGGTAGGATTTTGTGTGTTAAAACTTTCAACTGTGAGGGAAAAGGCAGCTGTTAGACTGGCAGTTACCCTGATCTTAACTTATTCCTGTCTTCTCTTAAGTGTGTGTTGATGGTGTGCACCCAAACACACATGCCTACACACTGTCTTTGCAGGTACAGGAAAAGGAATTACTGGCAAACAGACATGCAGATTGTTAAAATAAAAACTATTTTGCATCAAGTTCTGAAATTTTGCCTGAGCTTGTGTACATTGTGTTGAGTTCTAGACAGGTTGTGATCATTTTGATGATCCCCTTGATTATTTTCCTCTTTCTTATGCAGGCATTAGCCAGTTCAGTGTAGATGGTTTACTACAGCCCTGACTGTAGTGCTGGAGGACTCGTGGTGGTTCTGACCTACTGAGATTTGTACAATCTGATGTTTTAGAAATCCCTAGTCCTTCTTAAGAAGCAAACCAACAAAAAAGCCCAGTATTGTAACTGCCTGAAGCTGTTGGTGTGTGCAGTGCAAGCCTGATTCTGATTTTGAAGCAACTTTAGTCATACCTAGGCAGTGATGAAAGTGTGTTTGTCTTTCAGAAACAAAAGTGGCAATATCTATTTTAAGGCAATTTTGAACTATTTTAGTATTCATTAGAAACTTTGGGAAGGGATCTTTAGGAATCAACTGTTCTCAGTGGTTCGGGATTATCTGCCACCCCTTTTCCCTTGTCTGCCACCACCCCAGCCTGTACATCTGCTAGAAATCATGGAACACTT